TTAATTATTCTTATTTGTTTTGATTATTTTAATTTCTTCTATGTAAAGGACTTTGAATTGCCATTGTGTATGAAATTTGCTATATAAATAAACTTGCCTTGCCTTGCCTTGCCTTCCAGACATCATCATGTCTTAGTACGATCAGACAATACATCAGTGGTAGCTTATCTGAACCGACAAGGGGGACTCAGATCGCGCCCTCTGTGCAGACTGGCGCATCAGATTATTCTTTGGTCCCAGGGGAAAATACTGTCTATCAGAGCAATGTATATTCCGGGGGTTCAGAATCAGGGAGCAGACATCCTGTCGAGGCAGGGGCTGAGGCCCGGGGAATGGAGACTTCATCCAGATGTGGTGAAGTTGATATGGGAAAGGTGGACAAATGGAAGTGGATCTATTTGCGTCTCGAGAGACGTCCCACTGCCCACTTTGGTTCTCCCTCTCACATCCAGCCCCACTGGGGTTGGATGCTATGGTACAGGTCTGGCCGAGGCTTCGCCTGTACGCATTTCCCCCGATCGCTCTGCTCTCGGGAGTCCTGGAGAGGGTCCGTCTAGAGGGCATCAGTCTACTTCTGGTTGCCCCAATGTGGCCGACCCGAGTGTGGTTTTCAGACGTGATATCACTCCTGATAGCTCCGCCATGGCAGATTCCTCTGAGGAGGGTTCTGTTGTCTCAGGCGGAGGGCACAATCTTCCACCCTCACCCGGAGCTGTGGAAACTGTGGGTCTGGCCTCTGAGGGGGTTCAGTACCTAAATGCTGGTCTATCAGTGGGGGTGGTTGAAACCATACTTAGCTCTAGGGTTCCGTCTACTAGGAGATTATAAGGCCTCAAGTGGAATGTGTTTGTCACTTGGTGTAGAGAACAAGAGTTAGATCCAGCAAACTCCCCGGTGGCTTCAGTTCTGGAGTTTTTGCAAGATCGTTTCTCTGCGGGTCTCTCCCCTTCCACGCTTAAAGTGTACGAGGCTGCTATTGCGGCTTTCCACGCACCATTAAGTGATGGGCCTCTGGGGAGGCACCAGTTGGTCATACGTTTTCTCCGTGGTACTTGGAGGATGAGACCGACAACCAGGTCCAGGTTTCCGGCCTGGGACCTGGCGGTGGTTCTCGAAGGGTTTTTTCCCTGGCCCCCTTCGAACCTCTACAGTCGGCTTCGCCTAGGGATCTTACGCTAAAAATGGTATTTCTCTGAGGTATTACCTCTCTTAAGCTTGCTTGGAGTTTGCCCCTGGCTCGGTCCACGATCCTTCAGGCATTCCATCCTCCACCTCATGTGTCGGCAGAAGAAGAGAAGCTTCATTTGCTCTGCCCAGTCAGAGCTTTGAGCGTGTACCTCGAGAGGTCCTCTTCTTGGAGGAGATCGGACCAATTATTGGTGTGGTTTGGGTCACCTAAGAAGGGGCTCCCGGCATCCAAGCAAACTATTAGTAATTGGATTGTTCAGGCTATTACCTTGGCTTACAAGGTGCCCGACTTGCTTTCACCTTTAGCTGTTAGGGCTCATTCGACTAGAGGCATGGCTTCCTCTAGGGCCCTCCATTCGGGAGTACCCCTCCAGGAGATCTGTGAGGCAGCCGGCTGGGCTACCCCACACACTTTTATTAGGTTTTACAGTTTACACCTCCCTAGTACACCAGGCGCACACGTGCTTTCGTCCTAGTTGAGTGCCTGAATCAGTTTCACTCCGGGACAGGCATATTCGGTGCGTGGCCTAGTGGGCATTCGTTCCCCAAAGTGTCGAGTTCTCGACGCAGTGTTGAGTTCCCTCAAAAGGGAACGTCTCGGGTTATGACTATAACCCTTGTTCCCTGAGAAGGGAACGAGACACTGCGTCGCTCTGCCACGCCCCTCGAGGTCTTAGCGCGTCTTGCTTCATCGCGAGGCTGGTATGTGTTTGTTTCAGCGTCACCTTTATACTTCCGGTTATGCCGTCACATGTTACGTCAGGACGCAACGCCAATCAGGATTGGAAGAGTTTCATTCTTACTTCAGAGGCGCACGCTAAGGGAGCGTCCCCAAAGTGTCGAGTTCTCGACGCAGTGTCTCGTTCCCTTCTCAGGGAACAAGGGTTATAGTCATAACACGAGATGTTTTTTACATACTGTTACAGTGGAAAAAAGGAAAAAAAGAATTAAAAAAGATTGCAGCAGACTGAAAAGAGCTCTTGCAATTGATATTATTGTGATTACATTAAAATACCAAGCATTATATTATTCTTTTGAGGTCTGGAACTTCTTAACGCTGGCCAGCAATTTTTGTTAATAAAATAGCATCACCACTGAAGAGCTAGATTATTTTCCTCAAGGAGTCGGTAACATCCCTGTTTTTGAAGCAATTAAACTCACAGCTTCACTGTTATTAGGGAAACATGGCGCAGACTGAGGTAGTTCATCCATGGACAAACTATCTCTCTCTCACGCCGTTAAATCAATACAGACATGATGTATTACACTTTTCTGTGAATAGGATATTGAACTGGAGATTGCCAAACTGCAAGCTTACCGATGTTTTCAAAAAGCAAGCACTTTTATCCACAGTGGAGTCAGAGTTGCCAGGTTGAGAAAAATAAGTAAAACACTTAGCAGATATTTCCGTATTGTGCAAGTGTGAAGCTCTGATTGGAGGATTACGTCTCTTGATATCAGTTCTGTTCCTCTGCGGGACAGATTAAACCTTCTTCGAGCCTATATATTAAATTCTATTCACTAGTGCAAATACTTCACCAGTAAAATATTCTTGAAATTTAAAGCACCATGTGTTTTCTTAGTATACTCAACTAATTACATTTTACATCGTAAATATATTGTCACATCTTTGATAAGCACAATATATTATTTAATATATTTTTCAGTATATTTAAACCATTTAATATATTGATCTTAAATATGTGGAAATATATATTCATTCCGTAAGGGTACATTACAATATAAATTTATTAGAATGAGTACATTATTATTTATGTGCTTAAAAAGAAGAAAACTATCAGAATTTTGGACCTGGTGGGGAGTGCCCAATGTTAACATGAAGCCTGTGCCATTACCTGTATTGTTATACAGTGCTACAATAATAACAGTCGCTTCATAATGCAGAGGCCAAACTGTTACTGTAGCAATGGCCCTATAGTGTTTAATAAACAGCTATTATACTATATTCTGAGTTATTAGAAAAAGTTATAATTTAGTTCATTTATATGTATGTATGTCATCGTCCAGCTCAGTTCAGTTCTCATAATGGTGTCAATGCAGAAGATCAATAATATTGTTGAATATTAAATTAAATGTTAAATTTAATGTCCCCAACTAAGCAAGTCAAAAGCCAATGGCAACAGTGGAATCAAAACTCCATCAGTGACAGAATGGAGAAAAACCCTAGTGATAACCCAGACCCAGTCTCAGTTCTGGCCAACGAACCAACAGTGTATGATTATGATTCAGGCATTACAGGTCAGAGGTCAGATTGAATTGGAACAATCAGAATATATATTGTGTTGTGGCCGGATACGAATCGTATCGTGACCTTGTTGCTAATACACAGACCTAATTGGCACACAAAGTATTTGCAGTTTAATAAATAGAAATAAATGCACTGTCTATCATTGTCCTGACACTCTTTTGTATGTTTTTATATTAGCAACTTAGAACTTTGAGTAAAACATCCTTGAGGAATTTAAGGCAATCTTTTTAATCATATGAAAAGTGTCAATTATGTATTATTCAATATATTGTAATATATTAAGGCAATATATTAATGCAATATATGGTTTAATGTATTTTTCAGTATATTTAAACCATTTAATATATTGATCATAAATGTATGGAAATATATTTTTGTTCCGAGTGCGTACACCACAGATAGACCAATGAAAATGGTGTGCACAAGAGGCCAGGTTTAACAGTTTGAAGCTCAACAGATCAGTGAAGGCAATAGTTTGCAGGTCTGCAGACACGAACAGGAAACAGTTAGACAGGAAGCAGCGGTCCCGCGGTTACCATGTGATTATTCAACCGTGTGATTTTTCTGATAAGTATTACATCTAATCTGCTGGGCCTGTACAGCGGCTCTCCTGTCAACTCCTCCTCGGACTACGGTAATATGTTTTATTTATTTAATGTGTTGAAATTGACAGAGTGAAAGAAGGTTCCATTTCTTTGGAATCTTTACTATAGTTTCCAGTGAAAGTATTAATTTGAGAAAAGCTGTCTTTTTGTATAAGATACCAACCAGCCTTGTCTCTCTGAAACCAAACTGCTATTATTTTACAGTTTCTTTAAACTGGTGGACAGGGGCTGTTCAATAATGGGTTGTCTCTCAAGCAGGTCAAGAAGGTGATGAAGCATGTACTCTCACACACACACACACACACACAAAACACTATATATAGTGTTTTGTGTGTTTTTTTTTTATTAATTATGTATATAATAATACATATATATATATATATTAGTGCTGTTGATAAAACATTTTTTAATTAAGTTAATCACAGTTATGGGCAGTGATTAATCACGAATAATTTTAATATTTACTTAACCTGCAGTGTTGAAATAAATAAATGCATGACAAACTGGTTTAAGGAAACAGATTCTTTAGTTTAATTTATTTAACAAGTGTTCAATAACAATCTCTTAATTTGTTGAGGCAGACATATTTAGCAGAAACCAACAAAAGTAATATCTGCTACAAATTCACAAATAGCTTAACTGTAATTAAAAATTACATTTTGTATAGTAAGTACAATTTTTTTTGCATAGTAAGTAACATCAACTCAAATGAATGCAACAAGTAGGCCTATTATATATATAGTATATCTATTTGCCAGTAGATAATATAAGGAAGAATTAAGTGCATCACAGCCTACAAAATAAATAAAATATTTCTGTTTGTGTGATAAACAAATTCCACATTTCTCAAACTCTGGTGGTTTACTTTCAGATGCTTGTTCGTCACATTTCTGATTGCAGTGGTTGTGATAGTCCTCATAGTCACACTTCATAAGAGACCCTCTGAAGCTGAAGAGTGCTATGCTAAAGCAGCGGTGGCAGCGGATGCCAAAGTTTGCTCTACCATCGGGAGGTACGATTACAAAGAGTCACATTTATGTTTCTGGGAAAGATTCCATGCATTAGCGATGAGACTTTTGCAACTCTAGTTGCTAATATGGAGTCACTGAATGTACACAGAGTTCTTTGTGTTTGCAGGGACATGTTGAAGCGTAACGGTTCAGCAGTCGATGCTGCTATTGCTGCTCTGCTGTGTGTGAGTGTGATTAATCCCCACAGCATGGGCATCGGAGGAGGCGGGGTTTTCACCATATACAGCCCATCAACAGGTACATGAGCTTTGAGATACTTAAACCAGACTGCCACAACTCCCACAATGGCAACAGTTCAAGGAACAAACAAACAAACAAGACTCCTGTGAGTGCTCATCTTTTTAAAGCACATCGTGGGCTAGTGATTTTCTTCTAACCATGTGCAGTATATAGAGAGAAAATACTTTTTTGTCATTCAGAAGATACATTTCAATCTAAGCAACTTATGATGCATTATTTAGGAAGTAGTTTCCCTAGAGCAGCCTGAGGTCAAGTGCCTTCAGAAACAACTCCTGCCACACTCTTACTTGTGTGTGAATGACCAGGTGTGAATGTGTTTCATCCAACAGGTTTCCAGATGAACATCCTTTCAAGTTCTGGAACAACATTTCTTATATTTTTTATATTAATAAATGTTGGGCCAAATTTTGCAGCCCTACAAACAAACAAGTACAGCATAAGTCTATATAGCCTATTTATTTAATTTGTGGTTTCAGAAATCGCAAATTGTAATTTTAACCAAAAAAATAAATAAATCACAATTCGATTTTTTCCCCAAATCGTGCAGCACTAATGCATGTACACAATTAAATAGTCACGCTTCACTCTGAAAGAATATATGTTTAACGTGATAATTTCATCCTTACATTATCTACTATAATAAAATATTTTGTCATTACCGAGATTCTTCACGTCAGTAAATCACTACATAGATTCGCATGGAAGCCTCTTGTGCCGTTGCGGTCTAGTGGCGGAACTTTTGTTAAAGGGTTAGTTCACCCAAAAATGAAAATTCTTTCAGTAATTACTCACCCTCATGTTGTTCCAACCCCGTAAGACTTTCGTTCATCTTCGGAACACAAATTAAGATATTTTTGATGAAATCTGAGAGCTGGATCACTCCTCCATAGGCTTCTTAAGGGATCGAAACTGGCCGGCCCAAAAGTTATGAAAGAAATCGTTAAAATAGTCCGAGTGACTACAGTGGCTCAACCTTAAGTTTATCAAGTGACGAGAATACTTTTTGTGCACAAAAAAAAAAAAAAAAGAACGACTTTATTCAACTACTCTGTAAGGCCGTGATATTTCACGTAGTGAAACTACGCAAAGCTTCTAGGTTGCACGTCACGCATCACACACATGACCAGCGTCGGCCAATAGTGAGCCTACGTGTGACGTGGAGGAGTGATCCAGCTCTCAGATTTCATCAAAAATATCTTAATTTGTGTTCCGAAGATGAACGAAAGTCTTACGGGGTTGGAACAACATGAGGGTGAGTAATTACTGACAGAGTTTTCATTTTTGGGTGAACTAACCCTTTAAGCATGTCCGAGAGGTTCTGGGTTCTTATCCACCCTTGCATAAGAAGGGTATTTTTTTCCCATTAAAACCAAAGATGTTCATCAGTAATTGTGTGTCAAGAGTGTGGACACGTTTGTATGCATTTGTTTTGTGATTTCACCGGAACGAATAAAGAGTCTCCGCGACGGCATTAAGCAATCGAAAAGCTCGTCTGTGTGAAGTGCAAGAGCACCAAGTTGCCTTCTGCCACTGATAACAGCAGCAACGAACACTCAGCATGATTTAATAAACAACACATTCCAGCGCCAGATCGCCTCTTAATTCACTAACGAACTAAATGAATGCTCTGGTGGTCAGCTGTAGATGTGTTATTTTAATTAAGTACATCCATGCCACAAAATGTTTAAAAAAGTGGTAGGGAAAATATCGACCCTGGCAAAAAGTGTTGGGCACTTGTCCCACTCGCAAATTAAGCCTATGTGTATCCGGGTCTACTCAACCCTCTCCCAGTGGGATTCAAACTGTGTAACATGGGAGTCAGGAACTCTTAACAAGAAGGCTAAAGACCACAGCTATTAGCATCAGTCGCTAGAGCGCCTCTTGAGATCAGGGGAGTGAGGTTTACGCGTCAAGTTATTTCATTTGAGTCAATAAAAAAAGTATATATATACAGGGGGGAGGGGGAGAGTAGGGGGGGGGGGGGGCAGGAGACCAAGGAAGGGTGAGAAAAAGAAGAATTGAAAGGAGGAAGAAAGGAAAAGAAAATAATAAAAAAAAACTCTAAATATGTCATTATGATTGTGATATAGTTAAGGTAGTGGCATCAATGATGAGTTCATAGAAAAGAAAGGGGAGAAAAAAAATATAACGGCACTTGCTAGATATATGTGTAGTTCATGCCTTTAAAGCCCTTCACACAAATCATATAGCAACAGTTAAAGGTGATTCAAAGTAATTGCGGAATACATACATACTGTGACGATGTTCGGCTGGATTGCCCTCTAGTGTCACGAGAGGGCGCTCCACTTCTGCACTGGCTTGCCTTGGACTGTTTTCGCACACACCCTGAACTGATTGCGCACACCTGTTTCCACTGATCACTCTCACACCTGCATCTAGTTCCACACGCAGCTCCACACACATTTATACCCCACTCTCACTATTACTCATTGCTAAGTCTTGTTTCACTGTTGTGTACATTTCCGAGCGTTTCCTAGTTTTCCAAGTTTGTTAGTCTGTTCCAGTCTGTGTATTTGACCCATTGCCTGTTTCCCGGATTCCGTCTCATCTGCCGCCTGCCTCTGTCATCTCGCCTGGTTTCTGATCCAGAGTATTGCCTTGTCTCCTATGCTGTGTTTGCCGTCTGTGACCCTTGCCCGTCTGACTACCCTGTGAATAAACTCACGCTGCGTTAACCTGTCTCTGGTTGTTCATGACACATACATTTACATACATATGTACATATACACCTACAAAAATACATACATATATACACACTCACACACACACACACACACACACCTACATATATACACACCTTCATATAGTTATATATACCCATATACCAAATAATAAAATGTCTGTTAAAAATAAATCAAAAACATTAAAATAAGTACAAACATATTTTAAATAAAGAAGGTCTTCTCCTGGACTGAACCTGGACTGACCCACAAAACTCAATTTTACAGTTAACTACTGGAAACAGTGTTATTATTAACTTATTATTAACCAGATTGACTTTTGTTCTATTTATATCACCATTATGGAGATCAGTGTTTGCTTTAGTTGAGCTCTTGACCCTTGACTTTTTAACATCAGTTTTTTCTCTGGTTGCTTTAACTGTGTTTTTTCAAGGGACATACCTCATATATATATATACACATATACTGTATATATATACACTCACCTAAAGGATTATTAGGAACGGCATACTAATACTGTGTTTGACCCCCTTTCGCCTTCAGAACTGCCTTAATTCTACGTGGCATTGATTCAACAAGGTGCTGAAAGCATTCTTTATAAATGTTGGCCCATATTGATAGGATAGCATCTTGCAGTTGATGGAGCTTTGTGGGATGCACATCCAGGGCACGGAGCTCCCGTTCCACCACATCCCAAAGATGCTCTATTGGGTTGAGATCTGGTGACTGTGGGGGCCATTTTAGTACAGTGAACTCATTGTCATGTTCAAGAAACCAATTTGAAATGATTCGAGCTTTATGACATGATGCATTATCCTGCTGGAAGTAGCCATCAGAGGATGGGTACATGGTGGCCATAAAGGGATGGACATGGTCAGAAACAATGCTCAGGTAGGCCGTGGCATTTAAACGATGCCCAATTGGCACTAAGGGGCCTAAAGTGTGCCAAGAAAACATCCCCCACACCATTACACCACCACCACCAGCCTGCACAGTGGTAACAAGGCATGATGGATCCATGTTCTCATTCTGTTTACGCCAAATTCTGACTCTACCATCTGAATGTCTCAACAGAAATCGAGACTCATCAGACCAGGCAACATTTTCCCAGTCATCAACTGTCCAATTTTGGTGAGCTCTTGCAAATTGTAGCCTCTTTTTCCTATTTGTAGTGGAGATGAGTGGTACCCGGTGGGGTCTTCTGCTGTTGTAGCCCATCCGCCTCAAGGTTGTGCGTGTTGTGGCTTCACAAATGCTTTGCTGCATACCTCGGTTGTAACGAGTGGTTATTTCAGTCAAAGTTGCTCTTCTATCAGCTTGAATCAGTCGGCCCATTCTCCTCTGACCTCTAGCATCAACAAGGCATTTTCGCCCACAGGACTGCCGCATACTGGATGTTTTTCCCTTTTCACACCATTCTTTGTAAACCCTAGAAATGGTTGTGCGTGAAAATCCCAGTAACTGAGCAGATTGTGAAATACTCAGACCGGCCCGTCTGGCACCAACAACCATGCCACGCTCAAAATTGCTTAAATCACCTTTCTTTCCCATTCTGACATTCAGTTTGGAGTTCAGGAGATTGTCTTGACCAGGACCACACCCCTAAATGCATTGAAGCAACTGCCATGTGATTGGTTGATTAGATAACTGCATTAGTGAGAAATTGAAAAGGTGTTCCTAATAATCCTTTAGGTGAGTGAATATATGCTGAATGCTGTATATAAGAATATAATGATTCACTGATCTCATTCAGAGCTTAATCCTGTATCAAAAGTGTTACATCACCACCACTGTGAAACTACAGCAAGAGTTCCAACAGCAATCAGTTACTATGAGGACTTTTTTAAACAAATCATGCTGTAGAATAACAGAGATACTATGCTAAAAAAATATACAATTAAAATACCTATACAATCAAAGATTAGACACAGGAAGAGATCAGTGAATCAAAAAATTCCAAGATGATTATAGCATCGTCACAACAGCCTAAAACACCCGATCAACTTCATCTTGGCTTTTTCTTGCCATAACAAATGTGCGTTTATAAACTCACTGTCACAGCAGGAGAAAAACTAATGTTATAAAGTCAAGAGCCCAACTAAAAATTAATCACCATAATGGTGACTACAAACTTGATTATTTTCAGTAAAACATCTAAATCTCTGTTAATTCTCAACAAGTACATTTGTGCATGTATGAAATAAATAATGTCAAACTGGTTTGTAAACTGGTTTCACACTCAGTGTGACTGGAAGTCAGTTGTAGTTCTCGTGTTTCTGCTCGTCTCTTTTTTGTTCTTGTCCTTCAGTGATTGTTCTTATCAGGTGTTCATCAGTGTCTGAATTCACTCACTTCTTTGGTGGACTATATTATTGAGCTAATGTAGGCAATAGTGAACGATGGTATAGGGTGTGATTTGGAACACATCCTCTGAGTGTCGATTTTGAGCGCTGTTAATTCACAGTATATTCCTGTTGGCTATTTTCTCAAAAACGACAATTACCCAGAATGCATTGTTTTATATGGCATATTACTGTTTTATTGGAAATGGGTATGATACTATCAGAATTTGGCTGTTTTTTTACGGCAAGGTTTTACAGTATACATCACAGATGTATGTAACACTGGACCCACAGCTTGCTATTAAAGATCTCAAATTAGATTCTTAGATTCTTCAGTGTCCTCTTTGGCCAGTCACTGCCACCCCTTGACCACTGGGACACCTTTTTTGTGTTAAACAAAAAAGTAATGTTTTCATCTTCAGGAAAGGTGGAGACAATTAATGCAAGAGAAACTGCTCCAATGAGTGCTTCAGAGAACATGTTTGGCAATGACCCCAAGAAAGCACAACCAGGTAAACCACTATAAATCCACATATCCCCGAACTCAGCCTCCATGACGGCTTTACAGCACAGATTCAGTATAAGCACATTGGTCCACACATTGAAACAGCTCTGATGATTTCTTGCCAGTTAGGCCATTGGATGATGTGACCACTCCTCTGTTTTGTGTGAATAGCAGGGTTGTTTATAACTGTGCCAGGAGAACTGCGGGGTTATGCGCTGGCGCACCAGAGACACGGGAGACTGCGATGGAAGGAGCTGTTTGAGCCCAGTATAAAGCTGGCATCAGAGGGTTTTCAGATTGGCAAGGCCTTGGCTAATGCCATCAATGAGACTAGAGGCACAATTCTGAATGATAAAACATTGTGGTAAGAATGTGGCATTTGTAAACTAGAGAAAAACTGAAAAAACTGTCAGTGGAAAACATTCTACAAGTCAGATCTAACACTATAATACTATATGTCTCTATTTACACCAGGGTCTCTTAAGCATCTGCCTTCTAAATGTTATCATCTGATTTCTGCTCTTCTGTCTCTTCTTTCCAGTGAAATCTTTTGCGACTTAAATAATAACACCTTGAAGGAAAATGACATTATAAGTTTTCCTAAACTAGCTCTAACCTTTAAGAAGATAGCAGAAGAAGGACCAGATGCCTTTTATGATGGGTCATTGACTCAGACTATAGTGGATGATATCAATGCTGCAGGTTATTCCATGCTTACATTTGACTCATATTTACAGGATCTAGTGACTTAATATTATCAAAGTATGCAAATCTGTCTCAATATTTTGTGGAAACGCTTTACAATATGGTGCACTAATATGCATTAATTCATGCTTAAATGGACGTTTTTTTGATGGTTTTAACTATTTTGTATTCCTGTTCCTGTTTTGTAGCCTTTGTAATTTTATCTGTCTATTTTATTGTCTAAAGTGCCTTGAGAAGCTACTTTAATAAAGGCGCTATATAAAATGTATTAATAAAATAAAGTTTATTATTATTTTTATGATTACTGCATCGGCAACTAATAATTTAATTTACATTATTAGTTAATACTATGTTGATAAGGAATTAATACACGATGACACATTTAATTAATAGCATTCATATATTACCTAATCTATTAATCAGATAGACTCTTAATTAGTTGTGGTGCAATAATCTTTAATGAATGGTTTAGTTCTCCATGAGTCTAACATTAACTCATCTGTGCATCAGTTAAGCAAGAATGAATGTTTATTAGTGCAACCATTTTGTAAAGTGTTACCATTTTTGTTTCTCGCAACACAGGAGGGATTATAACACATGAGGACCTGAAGAATTATCAACCTGTGCTGAATGAGTATGCATTAAACTTTACTGTGGGGAAATACATATTTCATGCTCCTGATGCTCCATTCGGTGGACCCGTACTCGCTCTGATACTCAACATACTCAGAGGTGTGTGTGTGTGTGTGTGTGTGTTACAGTTAGGGAGTGCTAAAGCAAGTACTCTACAATTACTCCAAAGAATTCTCCATATTAAGACAGCCATCACGTCATTCAGGACCGGCCCATGGCATAGGTGACCAGTATATGGTTGGAGTTAGGATTAAGTGTGGGGTGAGGTTAGGATTATTCAGTCTGTTAGCGGACTCAATGAGTTAGGGTTAGTAATAATCTGGCAGGCAGATCAAATTCAGCACAACACCAGCCATACGAGGAACCTTACGAAGCACAGGAGTTGATGTGAGAAACGTGTTCAGTTCAAAGCTACTACAGTATACCTTATCTATATGATCGTCTAACACAACATGTCCTGTAAGCTCGTGTAGTTCAATTCAAATTACCTAGAGTTTGTTCCGTAAAACAGGCGGTTCATGCCACCATCTTTTGCTCAACCATGAGTTACTCCAGACATTCACCATTAATATATTGAGATTACATTTACATTTATTCATTTAGCAGGCGTTTTTATCCAAAGCGACTTACAAATGAGAACAATAGAAGCAGTTAAACTAACAGTAGGACAACATGTAAGTGCTGTGACCCCTTTCAGTTTAATCTAACGCAGTTGTTTTTTTTATAGTAAAATAGAATAGAAGAGAAGATAAAGTGGGAGTGTTACTGGATCAAGTGCTGCCGGAAAACAGTTCGATCATTCCTGCCGGAAAACATACGTCTTCAGCAGTTTCTTGAAAGTGGCCACTGACTCAGCGGCTCTGGTTGAGTTAGGCCGATCATTCCTCCAGCAGGGAACAGAGATCCTATCACACATTGTAAAGGACTAAAATACTTGTACTGTGTGAAACATGGGTTTAGTAATCTCTCATAGTCTTTAATCATTTTCATTTTCAGTTCAAATAATTAAGCATTTAATTTCAGGCTACAACATCTCAAGCAGCAGTGTGTCCACAACGCAGAACAAGACTTTGACCTATCATCGTATGATAGAGGCGTTCCGCTTCGCTGATGCCCGCAAGAGTAAACTGGGAGACCCACTTCATGAAAACATGATTGAGGTGAACTCAACTCAACTCTAATATACTTATATATTCCTTGGGCCTACTGGATAGTTTTAAAGCAGGGGTGGGGAACGTTGGTCCTGGAGGGCCGCTGTCCTGCAGAGTTTAGTTCAAACCCTAATCAAACACACCTGAACACCAATGTCTTCTGGATCACTAAGGCCCCGTCCACACTACTGCGTTTTCGTTTAAAAACAGAGACCTTTTGCTACGTTTGCACCTCCCGTCCACACTAAACCGGCAAAAACGGAGACCCAAAACGGAGAAGTTTAGAAACGCTGCCGACCCGTTTTTCGTTTTGAATCTCCGGAGGGCGTTTTAGTGTAGACGGGTCCAAACGGAGGACTTTAGAAACGATGACGTAGTAGAGGCTCACGCTCAGCTCTCTGATTGGGTGTCATCAGTCATGGCGTATATCTTTGCTAGCAGCTGTTGTACAAGTAAATTCGGCATTTTACAGCGCTATAACTGCCTACATGCGCCGGAGTCAAGCTATTATTCCAGCGATCTGTGACGATTCCCGTGTGCAGCGGCGGCATTGACCGTACATGGAGCGTTGGTTTGGGGTTAACCCAGAGCATGGTGGGATAATTTTATCAATGAAGTTGTGTTTACACCGGCACGCGCATGCCCAGTGTTGGTGAATGGTCACGTGATCCGCGTTTTCAGTCGTTTTAATGTGGACGGAGATCAATTCTAATACGCAGCTAAAACGCTGGTGTGGACGGAGATCGTATTCGTTTTAATTCTCCGTTTCTAAACTAAAACGCAGTAGTGTGGATGGGGCCTAAGGTTACATGCAGGTGAGTTTTTATTCAGGGTTGGAGATAAACTCTATAGGGAAGCAGCCCTCCAGGACTGACGTTCCACGTCCCTGTTTTAAAGGGATAGTTCAACAAAAAATATCAATTCTGGGACTCCAGAGGGGCAAAATTAGGAAATTGTATTCAATCAGGCCAGGTTACGATGCTGATCTCATCATTTAAGCAAACAGCTGCTGATTTCACTGCTTTACAACATTATATACATTGTTGCAAAGAAAATCTAATATATAAAGGGTCAATAGCCCAACTAAAGCAAACACTGATCTCCATAATGGTGGCAGGTTTTTGACCAATAAAACATCAACATCTAAACCTCTTTTAATTCTCATTAAGAACTCTGTAGACGTCTGACGGAAATAAAGTCAATCTTAGTAATAAGTGAAGCTGGTAATTTTTATTTTATTTTTGTTTAGATTATGTTTTTATGTAGAAATGTGTATGTGTATGAGAGTGTAAGCTCTCTTTTCTACCTTGTTACTGCTATGCTTCGTCTGACGGACTGTTTGTTTACTGTCATGTCAAAACTGTACTATGAACTTCAGTAAAGGTATTTCATTCATCTGAATATTAGAAGTTTACTACCTAAGATTGACCTTTTAAGAGCCTGGCTCACCTATAATAAACCTAATGTAATCACACTTTCTGAGACCTGGCTCAATAGTACGATATCAGATGATGATATAAAACTTGATAATTATGTTTTATATAGAGCTGATCGTGATTCTAGAGGGGGAGGAGTGGCTACATATATTTCCTTAACTCTAGTCTCAGAACTTGCTACACCAAAGGAGAATCCCTTGCATTTGAATCTCTATTTGTTAAAATAATTTTCCATAAAAATAAACCAATAATAATAGGTAATATTTATAGACCCCCCAAAGCTCCGGTTGAATCCACTAAATGTATTATATCAACTATTAATTCCCTTGATGATCACACTGAAATGATAACTCTGGGTGATTTTAATAACAACTGGTTAGCTGGCTCATGTAAGCACGATCGTAATTTATTTAGTACCTAGTTCAAATTTAACACAACTTATAACAGAACCCACCAGATCGGACTCTAAGTCATCATCCCTGTTAGACTGGATCCTAGTCTCACATCCAGATAGGATCAGTTTATCTGGAGAATTGTCTGACTCATTTAGTGACCATTCTATGATCTACTGTGTCTGGAAAATAAACGTACCTCGACTACCTGCAAAATTAATCAGGGTTAGACAATCAAAAAATATTAATTCTGAATATAGCTCAGTCGGGGCCAGTTCTCCTCTGGCGTTTAAGAAGTAGAGGCCGGATTTACAGTAACTAAGATAAAAAAAATTATATGAATGCCTGGCTAAATAGATGCGTCTTTAGTCTAGTTTTAAACTGGGAGAGCGAGTCTGAGCAACGAACAATATCAGGAAGGCTATTCCAGAGCTTCGGAGCTAAATGTGAAAATGCTCTCCCTCCTTTGGTGGATCTGGATATCCTAGGAATGACCAGAAGCCTCGAATTTAGGGATCTGAAAGAGCGCGATGGATTATAGGGCAATAGAAGATCCGTTAAATAGACAGGAGCTAAACCATTTAGAGCTTTATAAGTCAAAAGCAAGACCTTGTAATTAATACGGAACTTTATAGGTAACCAAAGAAGTGATGATAGAATCGGTGTTATATGATCATATTTTCTTGACCTAGTAAGAACTCTAGCTGCTGCATTTTGCACTAACTGTAGCTTGTTTATTGAGGATGCAGGACAACCAGCTAATAAAGCATTACAGTAATCTAGTCTCGAGGTCATGAATGCATGAACTAACTTTTCTGCATCAGAGACTGATAGCATATTACGTAGCTTAGCAATGTTTCTAAGGTGGAAAAAGGCTGTTCTTGTAACATATGAAATATGCTTTTCAAAAGACAGGTTGCAGTCTAATGTAACACCCAGGTCTTTTACTGTAGCGGATAAAGTAACAGGGCATCCTAATATGTTAAAGTCGTGCTGTGAAAGGTTTTGTGGACGGTTTTTAGAACCGATAAGTATTACCTCTGTCTTGTCTGGATTTAATAAAAGAAAATTACGCGTCATCCAATCTTTTATATCTTTATGAATCCGAACGTAGTGTTTACATGGATGATAAACAAAGTGATTGGGTTGATGTGATTGCCGCAACCAACTCTTGTTTGTTATTGCTATTGTGTACTGTACCTATGTTCATTTTTGGCACTTCCTTGTCATTCGTTCATCAAATGTGCTTTTCGTGAAGCATTATTTTGTTGCGCTTTTGCTATGATAAACGGACATCCACTCTTGGATTGCGAGCGTAATGGAGGCCAGCTAGTGAGAGTCGCGCTAACAGCTGCTAGTTAATGCGGTGTTTAGCGTCATTGTTACTGCACTCGACTCACATGCAGGTGATCGGGGTTCGAGACTGACTCGAGCAGGGCTGTTAGGATTGGAGTCTGAGTTTTGGAGGCAAAGCATTGAAGAGAGGGGTGTGTTTGTTTGGGTTGATTTTCAAATATCAACATTGTCCAATAGCATTTTTGAAATGAGTGTGGCTCAGATCAGATGTAAAAAAAAAAATCGGATCTCGTGCGGATTTTTGTGTTTACACGTGAGCAAGTGCAAAAAATAATAATAATTGTGCCCATGTAAACGCTGTCATTATGCACTCTGAGCAGTGTTGATTTAACACTGGGGATTTTGCTGTGTATATTTACAAACTGATATTTTGTCCATTTTGTTTCACACTCACAGATTGTCCAAAAAATGACCTCAGTGAGCTATGCTGACGACATCAGGAGTAAGATTAAAGATGACATCAAACAAACGAGCTATGATGAGCAGGAGGACCTTGATAATGTGCCGGAGGACCATGGCACGTCTCACCTGTCTATTATCGCAGAAGATGGGAGTGCAGTGGCAGTCACCAGCAGTATCAATAACTAGTAAGAGAAATAAAGAGACAGCGAGATCAGTGTTTCTTATCCCTGGTCTTGATCTAACACACCCAATTTCAGTTATTGAAACATAAAATCACCTCTAATAATATGAACTTAACATTACTTAGACTTAACATTAGACTATTAGCCTTCTGTTTAGTAGACTAATTTGCATAATTACTGAGGGGGAACACTAATATGTCCAAGAACTGAACTTCCTTCCAACTGGCTTTAATAATATCAGACATGCTGGAAGTTGGCAGAGAGATAGTAGAGTCGTTGGCTCTCGGGCAACTTTCAACATGTTTGATATTATCAGAGCCTTCATAGCCCAGAGGGAACACATACCTCAAGCTCCTTTATATGGTGAGATGACTGTATGAACTACATTTGACTTTTGTGTGAGTTACACTTCTACACTTCTGTGTATGTTCACGAATTGCTCCTATTCTTATTTTTCTAGGGCTGCCCCCTAATAGTAGACAAAACATTAGTTGACGAGAAGAGGCTTAGTCGACCAAAATTGAATTAGCCGAATAGTCACACAAAAAGCAGCCATATCACCCTGTAGCCCAAGACTGGTCCCCACTGAAGCTAAGCAGGGATGAGCCTGGTCAGTACCTGGATGGGAGACTCCTGAGAAAACTGCTGGAAGAGGTGTTAGTGAGGCCAGCAGGGGGCGCTCACCCTGGGGTCTGTGTGGGTCCTAACGCCCCAGTAAAGTGACGGGGACACTATACTGTCAAAGAGCACCGTCCTTCGGATGAGACGTTAAACCGAGGTCCTGACTCTCTGTGGTCATTAAAAATCCCAGGATGTCCTTCGATAAAGAGTAGGGGTGTAACCCTGGTATCCTGGCCACATTCGCCCAGTGGCCTCCGTCCATGGCCTCCTAATCAAATTAAAGGGTTACTTCACCCAAAAACTCTATCATTATTTACTCAACCTCATGTCATTAAAAACCCGTAAGATTTTCGTTCATTATCAGAACACAAATTAAGTTATTTTTAATGACATCTGAGAGATTTCTACGCAACTTCCACTTTAGGGTCTTTCGCACCGGAGGAACCTTTTCACAGTTGCTAGAACTATTGGCAGAAGTTCTCGGAGTTTGGCGTGTTCGCACCGCAGGAACTAGGAACGATTTTAGTCCTAGAAACTTTTTTTGGAGGAACTAAATTACTCCTACTTCAGAGTCGGTAGGAGTAAACCAGCGCTATAGGAGTAAACCAGCGCTATAGGAGTAAACCAGCGCTATAGGAGTAAACTAGCGCTATAGGAGTAAACCAGCGCTATATAGGAGTAAACCAGCGCTATAGGAGTAAACCAGCGCTATAGGAGTAAACTAGCGCTATAGGAGTAAACCAGCGCTATATAGGAGTAAACCAGCGCTATAGGAGTAAACCAGCGCTATAGGAGTAAACCAGCGCTATAGGAGTAAACCAGCGCTATATAGGAGTAAACCAGCGCTATATAGGAGTAAACCAGCGCTATAGGAGTAAACCAGCGCTATATAGGAGTAAACCAGCGCTATATAGGAGTAAACCAGCGCTATATAGGAGTAAACCAGCGCTATATAGGAGTAAACCAGCGCTATATAGGAGTAAACCAGCGCTATAGGAGTAAACCAGCGCTATAGGAGTAAACCAGCGCTATAGGAGTAAACCAGCGCTATATAGGAGTAAACCAGCGCTCACAGCGCTATATAGGAGTAAACCAGCGCTATAGGAGTAAACCAGCGCTATAGGAGTAAACCAGCGCTATAGGAGTAAACCAGCGCTATAGGAGTAAACCAGCGCTATATAGGAGTAAACCAGCGCTATAGGAGTAAACCAGCGCTATAGGAGTAAACCAGCGCTATATAGGAGTAAACCAGCGCTATATAGGAGTAAACCAGCACTATAGGAGTAAACCAGCGCTATATAGGAGTAAACCAGCGCTATAGGAGTAAACCAGCGCTATAGGAGTAAACCAGCGCTATATAGGAGTAAACCAGCGCTATATAGGAGTAAACCAGCGCTATAGGAGTAAACCAGCGCTATAGGAGTAAACCAGCGCTATAGGAGTAAACCAGCGCTATATAGGAGTAAACCAGCGCTATATCGGAGTAAACCAGCGCTATATAGGAGTAAACCAGCGCTATATAGGAGTAAACCAGCGCTATAGGAGTAAACCAGCGCTATATAGGAGTAAACCAGCGCTATATAGGAGTAAACCAGCGCTATATAGGAGTAAACCAGCGCTATAGGAGTAAACCAGCGCTATATAGGAGTAAACCAGCGCTATATAGGAGTAAACCAGCGCTATAGGAACTGTGACGTTAGTGTTCGCTGATTGGCCGAACACACGCGAAACACCAGCACCCGCCAGGAGGAGTGAAAACAGTGCAGACAAGACGAACAGTTCTCTCTTCTCGTAGCGGATCAGACGCCTGAGGGATCAAAGACGGATATCGCGGGAATCACACTCTTACTGTGTTGCTAATAAACTGGATGTAATTAAAGTTATGTTGCTTTTATATGAGAATATATATATATATATATATATATATATATATATATAATGAACAAGACACCAAAAGTACTGTTATCTATTTCCATTCAAAAGACTATTTTTTTCCATATTTCCATTTTTACTTTCATTAAAGACTTGTTATTATTTATTTTTATAAATATGACAACAATAACATAACCCATGTAGAGATCGCACTGTCGGAGATTGTGGGAATATTCACACATAATTTATACACATAAATACATGATATCAGAGTTTTAAAATCAAACATTTTAAAAGAGGACAATACATCAGGGTTGTTTAAACCAATGAGCATTAAGCTGTGTCGTCAGCAAGTCGTTTCCCATCATGCTTTTGCTCAGCGCAGTCAGCGGAGAGCGACTGCAGAATCCGACACGGCCGCCTTGCGCTCGCGAGAGCTTCTTACACACGTCAGCATGACATCAGAGCAAGGCGGACCGCACTCACACACACTTCTAACCGGCATGAACTAACCCTTTAAAAACAACAGAATAAAATACAATACTTATTTTAAGAAACTGCACTCTTCCATTCAAAAATATAGATTTGATTTTAATGCATAATAATAATTAAAAAAAAAAAGATGTTAATGTACTTTTGGTGTCTATTTTTATGAAGCTCTGTTGCTTTGTTGTTCCTTTCAATCTTGATGTCTGGATATGTTTTGTGTTCTCACAGTTTTGGTTCTGGGGTGATGTCACGCTCAACAGGCATTATATTTAATGACCAACTGTGGGATTTCATTGAACCTGAGGTGATAAATAAAGTTAACAATAACAACTTAATTAAACCAGGTAAAAAAAAAACTTGAATTCTTTGAATGTAAATGATTTACAATATTAATTTTTTCCTCCCGTTGACTGAATTGATGGAATGTTCTGGCAATCCATGTCTTTAAAATTGTGTGAAAATGCTGGCAACTTAAAAAAAAACTGGCGGGGAAAGAGTTGAGTACAAGAAAAAACACCTACAGTACATGAATATAAATGTTCACATGCTAAATACTATTTGTTTTTACAAGGTAAAAGGCCGCTTTCTTCAATGTGTCCCACAATAATATTGGACAAACACAGCGGACAAGTCAAAATGGTGGTTGGAGGTGCAGGTGGCACAAATATCACCACTGCAACAGCCCAGGTAACACAAAACTCGTAAGAGAGTTGAACAATTAAAGCATTGCTCTTTATATAAAAGCAGCAGTATCAATATATTAACATTTCTGAAGTACTACTCTTAACTTGAAAAACATTTGTTCTAAATTTGTCAAGGTTGGGGTAAAGGGAAGAGGCGAGGACTCGCAGAGTATGGGCTTTTATTTAATAAAAAACAAAACAAAAACTACCCTGACGGGGAAAACAGGACCGGCTGCAGGTCTTGACTAACAAGGCAGAGAAACACATGATAGGGAACATTTGAAGATGGTCTGTCTCAGGACAAACACATGGAGAATAAATAGGGTGGCAAACAAAGAGGTTAATGAGGGAGGACAGGTGGGGCAAACTCAACCAATAAACAGCTAACAAGATGGACGGGGTTAAGACAATAGCCAGGAGAGCACATGACACAAGGAAACACACATGACAAGCCATGTGCTCACACCAAACATGACTAAAACACAAGCACATGGCCAGCAAACAATCACAAGCCATGTGCTCACACAGAACAGAAAAGCATGCGGCCAATGGATTCACGAACCGCGTCCTACACAGAACACAACACCACACTTGGACGACTCGAAACCACACACTCGCACAACAAGACAGAGTGCACAGAGAACGAGCGAATGCTCATCCCATTCGCTTACAACAGAAGACAAACACACGGAGCATGAATGTCCGAATCCCAATACAGTGCCGGGATCGAACACCAGGCGCGTCGCCGGGTGTTTTTTTTATAGCCCCGGATCTCAAAAAAATTAATTTATTGATTATTATTATTTTTTTTAAATAATTTTGTATTTATTTTTAAAATTGACCGGGTCTTTTAATCTATCCTTTGGAATCATTTATTAAAGACGATTAAAATGTGTTCAAGCAGATCAAAGCTACTATGGTTACTATGTGTATAGTATTTGGTGTTTGACTGGTTAAGGATGAGTGCTACCAGAATGGCGTGTCGGTTAGAACACAGGAATGAGTCCAGAAGTTACTTCTCAATTGATTTATTGCCATTTGCTTTCTTTCTTGGTTCTACCATTTCCTTAATATGGCTTTACAATTGCTGCATATTGCTGGTGTCTACAATCAAACAAAGTTAACTTTACTAATACAAATTATAATAATAAGTATACATTCACATAACCATAAAGAAAATCTTTGAACAAATCAACAGTTATCAAATTAATATCAATACAGAACGTTTGAATAAACTTACAAAGTCATAGCAAGCTGAGGAGCAAACAGTCAGCACAAAGACAGACACACTAGTGAGGTTGATTAGTAAGGTAATTATCCTCAGGTGAAGGAAGCTCCAGGAAGTGGGCGTGTCTCCCAATAGAGTGACTAATTGGGATTTTTAACACTATGGTTACAGCATGCTTGCATTTAGAGTGCGCACCAGAGGAGAGAGAGAGAGAGCCCGAAAGAGCCATCGGTTAACTTACAGCTTTAGGGCTTGACTGTCATTGTTGTTTGTGGCTTCTGGTAGTAGCTATTATGGACATTAGACACTTTTTAATAAGGAGTCATGAACGATACGAGGCGGATGAGACGCAAGAAGAGTTATCTACTGGCGCCGTTCTCTCAGTGGCGGACTTAATCATTAGGCAAAGGTCGGCGATTGTCTTGGGCCCCGAGCTACCTAGGGGCCCCCAAAATGCCCCATTAAATTATGCTTAAGTTTTTTTGTTTTTGTTTTACTTTTCGCAAATTATATATTTCTAAAAAAACATTTGCGAAGGAGGGGCCCCCCCACCACTACATTGGACTATTCCATTATCTCACTTTCTGCGTGCGAAAGGTGATTGTGTGACACTTTAGGAAGTTATTAAAGTGGAAAGTTGCATGTTAGGGTTAGTGATATATTAACCTTGTTTCCAAAACACAGGCTTTGAACTTATTTCGGATTATTATTATTGTTTTGTTTTTCTTGTTTTTCGTAGCAATATCTGGCAACATTTTACTGTCGGCATAAAAAAAAAGCTGATAGACAAACTGTAATTGCATAAAGCTACCACATTCGGTAAGACAAACGCAATGATCATCGTGATTATCTGTAAGAAATGTATAACACTATCAAAAACTATAGCATAATAATACAGATCTGTATGAATGAAATTTGCCAAATAACTTACTGGCCAGCAGGAAGACGGCTCATGCTGTAGTTAACCTTTCACAAAGTCATCATAAAAACATTAATTAAAGCAGTGTTTCTCAACTAGCAATCTATTCCGTCAGCTGGACATGTGCCGGTATTCGGTAATGCGATAAATCGCGGTAATGAATATGCACGATATTGTTATCGCTTAGATTCAAATTTAGACTTTTAGAACGCGCATTAGCTTATTTTCCATCAACCGCTTAAACACTGCGTATATGCTGCGCAAAACACGTGCGCACTCTGATGTAAACAATCCCCACATGTAGAAGCAGTGTGCATGCGGCGCAGTGTACACTCTAGTCTAATGTAAACAATCCCCACATGTAGAAGCAGTGTGCATGCGGCGCAGTGTACACTCTAGTCTAATGTAAACAATCCCCACATGTAGAAGCAGTGTGCATGCGGCGCAGTGTACACTCTAGTCTAATGTAAACAATCCCCACATGTAGAAGCAGTGTGCATGCTGCGCAGTGTACACTCTAGTCTAATGTAAACAATCCCCACATGTAGAAGCAGTGTGCATGCTGCGCAGTGTACACTCTAGTCTAATGTAAACAATCCCCACATGTAGAAGCAGTGTGCATGCTGCGCAGTGTACACTCTAGTCTAATGTAAACAATCCCCACATGTAGAAGCAGTGTGCATGCGGCGCAGTGTACACTCTAGTCTAATGTAAACAATCCCCACATGTAGAAGCAGTGTGCATGCGGCGCAGTGTACACTCTAGTCTAATGTAAACAATCCCCACATGTAGAAGCAGTGTGCATGCTGCGCAGTGTACACTCTAGTCTAATGTAAACAATCCCCACATGTAGAAGCAGTGTGCATGCTGCGCAGTGTACACTCTAGTCTAATGTAAACAATCCCCACATGTAGAAGCAGTGTGCATGCGGCGCAGTGTACACTCTAGTCTAATGTAAACAATCCCCACATGTAGAAGCAGTGTGCATGCGGCGCAGTGTACACTCTAGTCTAATGTAAACAATCCCCACATGTAGAAGCAGTGTGCATGCTGCGCAGTGTACACTCTAGTCTAATGTAAACAATCCCCACATGTAGAAGCAGTGTGCATGCGGCGCAGTGTACACTCTAGTCTAATGTAAACAATCCCCACATGTAGAAGCAGTGTGCATGCGGCGCAGTGTACACTCTAGTCTAATGTAAACAATCCCCACATGTAGAAGCAGTGTGCATGCGGCGCAGTGTACACTCTAGTCTAATGTAAACAATCCCCACATGTAGAAGCAGTGTGCATGCGGCGCAGTGTACACTCTAGTCTAATGTAAACAATCCCCACATGTAGAAGCAGTGTGCATGCGGCGCAGTGTACACTCTAGTCTAATGTAAACAATCCCCACATGTAGAAGCAGTGTGCATGCTGCGCAGTGTACACTCTAGTCTAATGTAAACAATCCCCACATGTAGAAGCAGTGTGCATGCTGCGCAGTGTACACACTAGTCTAATGTAAACAATCCCCACATGTAGAAGCAGTGTGCATGCGGCGCAGTGTACACTCTAGTCTAATGTAAACAATCCCCACATGTAGAAGCAGTGTGCATGCGGCGCAGTGTACACTCTAGTCTAATGTAAACAATCCCCACATGTAGAAGCAGTGTGCATGCGGCGCAGTGTACACTCTAGTCTAATGTAAACAATCCCCACATGTAGAAGCAGTGTGCATGCGGCGCAGTGTACACTCTAGTCTAATGTAAACAATCCCCACATGTAGAAGCAGTGTGCATGCGGCGCAGTGTACACTCTAGTCTAATGTAAACAATCCCCACATGTAGAAGCAGTGTGCATGCTGCGCAGTGTACACTCTAGTCTAATGTAAACAATCCCCACATGTAGAAGCAGTGTGCATGCGGCGCAGTGTACACTCTAGTCTAATGTAAACAATCCCCACATGTAGAAGCAGTGTGCATGCGGCGCAGTGTACACTCTAGTCTAATGTAAACAATCCCCACATGTAGAAGCAGTGTGCATGCTGCGCAGTGTACACTCTAGTCTAATGTAAACAATCCCCACATGTAGAAGCAGTGTGCATGCGGCGCAGTGTACACTCTAGTCTAATGTAAACAATCCCCACATGTAGAAGCAGTGTGCATGCGGCGCAGTGTACACTCTAGTCTAATGTAAACAATCCCCACATGTAGAAGCAGTGTGCATGCGGCGCAGTGTACACTCTAGTCTAATGTAAACAATCCCCACATGTAGAAGCAGTGTGCATGCGGCGCAGTGTACACTCTAGTCTAATGTAAACAATCCCCACATGTAGAAGCAGTGTGCATGCTGCGCAGTGTACACTCTAGTCTAATGTAAACAATCCCCACATGTAGAAGCATGGCGGAAGGAGGAACTGCTGACGCAGACGATTTCTTTGCACAAAACTCTCCAGAAAGTGCCATTTAATGGTTTATTTTTCAAAAAAAAAAAATAATGTTTCGTTCTCTTTTAAAGATCGGATGGGGAGGCCCCATACTACCTTCACCAAAATAAATACAAATACATTTCAGATAGCGTTTTGAGGTCTCTTACCCCTGCTATTGTCCACAAAACTTCAGTGCCGACACGTTTCTCATGACAAGCGCGGGTGAAGCTCGTCCTCTGGCACTGGCTGCTGCCGGATTTGTAAATCGGGTTGGTCCGGTCCGAGATCCTTTTCTTCCAGCAAAGGTTTTTTTTTTTTTTGTAAATCAATGACAGAATGTGGTTTAACTGCTGCCATTATCTCTACGAAAGTGATCAGCCTAGCAAGGTTTCGGCGGAGTCGCCCACGCACTCGCATTAGTGGCCCAGAGCGCAAAGTTGAATGACAGGTGACGAGAACCAATCAGATTGGATAAAATAACATGTATCCAATTCTGATTGGCCAGGGACGCAGCGACCTGCGCCTGGAGGAGGATCTTTAAGAAACCAATTAGAGACCAGCTTCAGGTCACATGCTGCTGAAAATTTAAGGAATCATATGAAACCGCATGAAACATATTGAAAAACATAGAAAATAGTTAACCGATTAAAGCCAGTTTTAATTAAATGTTGAGGCCTTACTACCAGCCTGCACATCGTATGAGTAAACTATTTTATTTTTATTTCATTTTTATATAATTGTTGCATACATGTATATTTCTGGAATGGTGATGGGGCGGCGCCTCAGTGCCCTCTATTGACGAGCCGCCACTGGGCCAATGGCTAAGGTTATGTGATATAAAAAATGGACAATAGGTTTGTGTAGTATTTAAATCTTTTTGTCTTTAATCTAAAAACCTGTCTCTCTGATCTCAGGTGATCCTGAACTACCTGTTCTTGGACTATGACCTGCAGAAAGCTGTCACAGAACCCAGAGTTCAGATCACGCTACATGACACAAATGTAGAAGATAACTTTGATCAGGTGGGATTCTTGCATTTGAAAACAAACGATTGTCATCTAAATTGGATTCACAAAGTCAGAAAAGTGATACACTAATTTTCTCTCTGTGTTGTATTATGAATGCAGAGAGTAATTGATGGCTTGAAGCTGAAGGGTCATAATATCCATCACAATACTTCATTGTCAGTGGTCCAGGCGGTTGTTCGCCAGCGGGACAAGCTCTGTGCCGAGTCCGACTTCAGGAAAGGAGGCTATCCGGCGGGATACTGAGCACTCCTGTGTTTAAACCAGCAGAAGTCAAACCCTGGACCAGTGACAGATCCAGACTTGCTTGTTGGGGTGTTTTATAGGTGCCAACTAAACTTGAGCAGGCAATGTGCCAAAAAACTATTCATAATATTGTTTCAGCCATCCTGATTTCAATATCCCACAGCTCATAAGAATGCTGCACATTTTATCAGTAGTATTACAGCTTTTCCATTTTTATTTAGCTTATCTTTAGCTATCACTTGCATTTTGAAATCTGCTAATTTTTTATTATTTTTTTTTATCTCTATACACTGCAAAAAAATGCTTTTCTTACTCAGTATTTTTGTCTCGTTTCCAGTCCAAATATCGAAAAATTCTTAAATCAAGATGCAATTGCTAAAGTAGTAAAATGCTTGTTTTCTGGGGGGGGAAAAATCTAAATGAAGTGAGTTTTTGCTTTAAACTAGAAAAATGATCTGCCAATGGGGTAAGAAAAATACACTTAAGATTATTTTTCTCATCCCATTTGCTTTAAGCTTTACTGAAAAGAGTTTGATAGTTGTAAAGGAGTTATTGCAAATCAATAAAGTATCCTGTCAACTTTAACTTACTTTATAAAGTGTTGTTCTGTCAATGTAACATTGGTGAGTACCCAGAAGAATGTTCTCCAAATATCCAGTGTTTGTTCTGGAAACGTAAAAAATGTCTTTATGTTAGGAACGTGTTTTAAAACGTATGACGTTCCTGAATGTTAATAGCATGTTATTTAAAGGTCAGTGTGAAGTTCCTGAAACATTCTCGCAATCATCCAAACACCTTCTGTGAACAAACACTGCAAGAAAGAGAAATAAGAACACAAGAACTACAACTTTCTTCAGCCACAGCCTTAGACGAAACCAACTGAAGTTAAAAGAAGACATTACATCTGTGAAGATCTCAGCAGAGGATTAAACACAACTCTTTATTTCTGTCAGACGTACAGAGGTTCTCAACTGCAGACAAGTGCATAAAAACAGTAACAATGGTAAATATGAGTTTGCATGGAAGAAAACACACCTTTTTCACGCACTGAGTTGTTTTTAGTGGACCAGGGGTGTATACAGTAACAGTTCCTGCTTATTTTAAGCCCTAGGGAAATAAGGCATGTCGCTGTCAGGGTTCTGTCACTTCTGTCTGGTTTGGTGACGGCGCTCTGACATTCCCGGTGTGTCATGTGTTTGTGTATAGTCCTGTCTGTTGTGTGCACAACATGGCTTGTCGTGTATCTCCTTGTATTATGTGCTCTCCTGTGATTGTCTAGCCCCTCCCATCTTGTTATCTGATTATTGTTTAATTTGCCCCACCTGACTTCTCGTTACCCTCTTTTTCCTGTTTCCTGTTCCTGCCAGATGTCTGTCTCGTTCCGCCCCACGGGGAGTTTTTGTTTGTAGTTTTTTTTCCTTTTTATTATTAATTAAAGATCCTTCTATTTCCTGCACTTGAATCCTCGCTTCACTATTTTACCATTCCGTGATTAAAGCCTACTAAAATCAGCTTGAAAAGGTTATCTCATAAAAAAGTCTGATGGTTGAAAGCTTCAGGAAACATTGCCTATGCCAGGATCCACCGAGAGCCTTGAGGAGAATTATGTGAAAGGAGCTCGTCGTCTGAAGCCCGAGAATGCACACAACATGTTTTAACTGAATGGTTGAACAGAAGTTGAAACCGTTATAATACCGAATCCGTCAATTTTAAACCTGCAGTCCGTAGTTTTTCCTCTTTGTCTCCATCTCTGTTAAAAATCTGCAATTGCAGTTATTCGCGGATTTATCAACTTTACATGGGTTGTGCCTCGGCACGGCACAGCGCGGATGAATCCAATGGCCGGGTTGCAGTCTCTTTTTTGCTGAAGCCGATCCGAAGTCTTTTGCGTTTTACAGCGGGTGAATCTCCAGTTGTCACTGGTGGTTGTCGTTTGAAACTTTCTGGATCCGCCAATATCAAATTGACAAGTTTAATTATATCAAGTGCTGTGAGAAAAGGTCAAAAATCTCCAGCTCCAACATCCTCACACTCGTAGCCTACTAGCCGAGACTCTTCTTTATGTGGACAGATGTGACGTAATCTTCAGATGTAGTGATGTGGCCTACACCCTATGTAGTCCAGTCATTTTATGAAAAAAAGGTTGAACAAATTGCAACAGAAGCAAACTCAACTGATTTTGTATCCTCAATATGTCCTGAGTAAGAAAAAAAAACCCTGAAGAATCCCATTAGGGGAACGTTTCGAAAAAGACCCAAATATATCCCATTCACGCCTATTCATTCTGTTTCTCACGTGAAAAGGGTAAAAATTTTAACCTTTAGATATCATCATGAAAATCACTGAGTTGATTACTTACATCAAGACAAACAACAAATGTATTACAAGTTTTTTTTAAATTGTTTGTTAACATGGACAAACGGTGCATAATATAATTACGTAAGCTAATTTGCATAATTACCCAAACAGATCTAAACATTGTGTATAGCAGGTGAAAATGTTTTTTTGAATCTTGTTGACATATAACAGTAAAAGACTTAATATTAAGGTCTGAATGGAACCCATTTTGGCTACCCATGAACATTAATACAGGAAGAAGTACTTTAGAAACCAGCCTTTATTAATTATTATTGCAGAGATGGGTTTGGCCATTGAGTGCATTGTGTACGTAATTAGATTTTTTGATCCAGACACTTTTTATTTCACCCCAGCCCCACTGACCCAGCCTCTGACCCGGCCCCACAGACCCAGCCCCACTGACCCAGCCCCACAGACCCAGCCTCTGACCCAGCCCCACAGACCCAGTCCCACTGACCCAGCCCCACTGACCCAGCCCCACAGACCCAGCCTCTGACCCAGCCCCACAGACCCAGCCTCTGACCCGGCCCCACAGACCCAGCCTCACAGACCCAGCCCCTGACAAAGCCCCACAGACCCAGCCCCACTGACCCAGCCCCACTGACCCAGCCTCTGACCCAGCCCCACAGACCCAGCCTCTGACCCAGCCCCACAGACCCAGCCCCACTGACCCAGCCTCTGACCCGGCCCCACAGACCCAGCCTCACAGACCCAGCCCCTGACAAAGCCCCACAGACCCAGCCCCACTGACCCAGCCCCACTGACCCAGCCTCTGACCCGGCCCCACAGACCCAGCCCCACTGACCCAGCCCCACAGACCCAGCCCCACTGACCCAGCCCCACAGACCCAGCCTCTGACCCAGCCCCACAGACCCAGTCCCACTGACCCAGCCCCACTGACCCAGCCCCACAGACCCAGCCTCTGACCCAGCCCCACAGACCCAGTCCCACTGACCCAGCCCCACTGACCCAGCCCCACAGACCCAGCCTCTGACCCAGCCCCACAGACCCAGTCCCACTGACCCAGCCCCACAGACTCAGCCCCTGACAAAGCCCCACTGACCCAGCCCCACAGACCCAGCCCCACTGACCCAGCCCCACAGACCCAGCCTCTGACCCAGCCCCACAGACCCAGTCCCACTGACCCAGCCCCACTGACCCAGCCCCACAGACCCAGCCTCTGACCCAGCCCCACAGACCCAGTCCCACTGACCCAGCCCCACTGACCCAGCCCCACAGACCCAGCCTCTGACCCAGCCCCACAGACCCAGTCCCACTGACCCAGCCCCACAGACTCAGCCCCTGACAAAGCCCCACAGACCCAGCCCCACTGACCCAGCCTCTGACCCAGCCCCACAGACCCAGTCCCACTGACCCAGTCCCACTGACCCAGCCTCTGACCCAGCCCCACAGACCCAGTCCCACTGACCCAGTCCCACTGACCCAGCCCCACTGACCCAGCCCCACTCACCCAGCCTCACAGACCCAGCCCCTGACAAAGCCCCACAGACCCAGCCTCACTGACCCAGCCCCACAGACCCAGCCCCACTGACCCAGCCCCACAGACCCAGCCCCACAGACCCAGCCCCACAGACCCAGCCCCACTGACCCAGCCCCACAGACCCAGCCCCACTGACCCAGCCCCACAGACCCAGACCCACTGACCCAGCCCCACTGACCCAGCCTCACAGACCCAGCCCCACTGACCCAGCCCCACTGACCCAGCCTCACAGACCCAGCCCCTGACAAAGCCCCACAGACCCAGCCCCACTGACCCAGCCCCACAGACCCAGCCCCACTGACCCAGCCCCACAGACCCAGCCCCACAGACCCAGCACCACTGACCCAGCCCCACTGACCCAGCCCCACTGACCCAGCCTCACAGACCCAGCCCCACTGACCCAGCCCCACTGACCCAGCCCCACTGACCCAGCCCCACAGACCCAGCCCCACAGACCCAGCCCCACTGACCCAGCCCCACTGACCCAGCCCCACTGACCCAGCCCCACAGACCCAGCCCCACAGACCCAGCCCCTCTGACCCAGCCCCACAGACCCAGACCCACTGACCCAGCCCCACTGACCCAGCCCCAACCCCCATCTCTGCCATAATAATTAATAAAGGCTGGTTTCTAAAGTACTTCTTCCTGCATTAATGTTCATGGGTAGCCTAAATGGGTTCCATTCAGACCTTAATATTAAATAGTTTACAGTTATATGTCAACAAAATTCTACAAGACATTTTCACCTGCTATACCCAATGTTTAGATCTGTTTGGGTATTTATGCAAATTAACACATATGTAATTAGATTATGCACCGTTTGTCCATGTTAACAAAAATTAGCAAAAAACTTGTGATACATTTTTTGTTTGTCTTGATGTAAGTAATCAACTCAGTGGTTTTCATGATGATATCTAAGGGTTAAACTTTTTACCCTTTTCACGTGAGAAAAATAATGAAGATGAATGGAATATATTTGGGTCTTTTTCCCCTAATTTGTTCAAGGTTGACCCCCATTTTGGCTTAAAATGACTGGACTAATGCCGTGCGCAGTGCCTACGAGCTCGAGCTGAACACGCACTCGGACGGGGGGCTCATCAAGATGGCGGAGCCCCCTATGAAGTGCACTTCGCAGAGCACAGGGAACACGCACCT